AGAGCAAAGACTGTCTCTGCTGCTGTCATTCGACTGCTCCCTCTGGCTTCTCATGTGACGCCCCGGGGTTGTTTCATTAGAGGGGGATTTTCAAACCTGGCACCAACAACAATAAAACTCGGATATTTGTTTATGAAAAGCTTCACAGCAGTGTCAGGAACCAGTCACTGACCAGTGTAAGTACGATAACCCCCAGGCTCCCCCACAAGACTGTCTCTGCTGCTGTCATTCGACTGCTCCCTCTGGCTTCTCATGTGACGCCCCGGGGTTGTTTCATTAGAGGGGGATTTTCAAACCTGGCACCAACAACAATAAAACTCGGATATTTGTTTATGAAAAGCTTCACAGCAGTGTCAGGAACCAGTCACTGACCAGTGTAAGTACGATAACCCCCAGGCTCCCCCACGCCACTGCCCCGGACAGCACCTCACTGGCTCTGGGGATAGGTTGCCAGATGGTTTCAACAAAAATACCGGGCACACTTGACACGACATCACAATCCACATTACAGCTTATTGAGAAAATACTGGACAGTTCGATTTTCTCAATTTGTTTCCCAAACAGAAAGCTCAAATACTGGCCTTTCCAGTTCAAAACGAGACACCTGGCAACCCTAGCCAGGGATGCCCCTAAGGCCCCATTGCTATCCAGGGCGATGCACAGGGACAACTGGCAGGATTAGACTCCAGCTCGCTCTCCTGTAGCTGCTCTGGCTCTGCGGTTTGTTTGTCACTCTAGGCAGCAGGTCTGGCTCACAGGCCGTCACGGGCAGGAGCCCCCTTGGGTGTTGGAAGGGGCTAGTTCTGCTCTCCCATCTCTGTGCAGAACCATGGTGACATGGAGGTTCAAGCTGGAAGGGAGAGAAGGAAACCAGCTAGCATCTGCCCCTGGAGGTTGGCATCACCTGACTCTGCCCTAGGGAGGCCAGTCCTGCTGCATCGAACAAGTCAGGACAATCAAGCTTGAGATTTGCCAGCTGTAGCTAAAATGTGGGACACTGCTGTCCCAGGCTCTCCCCAGAGCAGGCTGGGAAAAGAGCGATCCAGCATAGGGAGCGAGGGCTCTGTTTGCAGCCAGGGCGACCAACTCACTTGCTGCAGCATGGCTCTGTTTCCTGCATCGGGTCAGATGCCGGAGTCTCTGGAATGGGAATTACCAGAGTAAAGCAGGAGGTGGAATTCACAGAGGTTAAAGCAGAAGGGACCATTACTCCTCCTCCTCAGTGCAAACCCATTTTACCAGAGCCCAAGGACTGGTGTTTGGCTCACACATCTTAGAATAAATCACAGAATCATAGAACTGCAAGGAACCTCGAACGGTCATCAAGTCCAGTCCCCTGCACTCAATGGAGGCGAGAGCACCATTTAGATCACCCCTGACAAGTGTTTTTCTAACTTGATCTTAAAAATCTCCAGCAATGGAGATTTCACACCCTCCCTAGGCAATTGGTTCCGTTGTTTACCCACCCTGACAGTTAGAACATTTTTCCTAATGTCCAACCTAAACCTCTCTTGCTGCAATCTAACCCCATTGTTTCTTGTCCTGTCATCGGAGTCAAGGAGAATAATTTTTCTCCCTCCTCCTTGTGACACCCTTTTAGATACTTGAAAGCTGCTTTCATGTCCCCTCTCAGTCTTTGCCAGGCTAAACAAACCCAGTTCTTTCAATCTTCTCTCATCGACTTTTAATCATTTGTTACTCTTCTCCAATTTGCCCACATCTTTCCTGAAATGTGGCGCCCAGAACTAGACACAATACTCCAGTTGAGGGCTAATCAGCACAGTGCAGAGCAGAGGAGTAACTTCTTGTGGCCTGTTTACAACACACCCCAGAATCACATTTGCTTTATTTACATCTATGTCATATATTGGTAACTCATAGTTAGCTTGTGGTCCACTCTGACCACTCTGTGGTCCTTTCCGCAATTCTCCTTCCTAAGCAGTCATTGCCCATTCTCTGTGTGTGCAACTGATTGTTCCTTGCTAAGTGGAGCATGTTGCGTTTGTCCTTATTTCATTCTATTTACCTCAGATCAGCTCTCCAGTGTGTCCAGATCATTTTGAATTACAATCCTACCCTCCAACGCACTTGCAACCCCTCCCAGCTTGGTATACAATTTGCAGATGGAAAGTGTACTCTCGATACTATTATCAAATCATTGATGAAGATATTGATGAAGCAAGGCAGCTGGTCTGGATTTGGCAGCTTTGCAAGATGGAGAATCCACTTCTTCCCTCCGGAGGGTGTTTCATGATCCTTCTCCATTAAAAACCCAACTTACTTCTATTTGGAGTTTGCCTGGCTTTAACTTCTAGCCATTCTGCCTTTCACCACTAAAGAGCCCTTCAGAGCCAGTATTTTCCCTTCATTAAGGACCCACCGTAATCAAGTCACCTCTTGCTTTTCTTTTGGTGAGCTAACTGGGTTCTTTAACCCCTTCACTGAAAGGTGTTACTTTCCACCCTTCAGCTGCCTTTGGCAGCTCCCCTCTGCACCCTGCTAATTTTAAAAGGTGGGCAACCAGCACTGAAGCTTGCAGCTCCAAAGGAAGACAAGCAGTTCGGGACAATTTTTAAATGTTTTCCATGGGCTGTTGAAGGATCTGATGCTGAGAGGGTCTGAGTGCTCCATCAAGCCCCGAAGAACAGGCTGCATTTAACTCGCCCAGCAAAACAAGCCTCTGCGAAAAAATATTTCAGCTAAGCCCCTGTCAAGGCTGCTCCACGTATCTCTGCTGCTCAGCAGCTGCTGCTACAGACTAGAAGCTCAGAGCTCTTGCCAACTGACACCCTTGTTGTCACAATTTCTGTGCAACATGGGTGTTTTCCCCTCTCCCACGCTGGCTGATGAGGGAGGTCACAGCTGACGGCACAGTGAGAGCCAGACACCCAACAAATCTTACAAGAATCTCTGTTTGCGAAGAGCTTTCGTGGGCTAGATGGAGCCCAGGGCTCAGCTCCCATTTGGGAATGTAAAAGAATTTTCAGAAGTTCGGAGGCCCCCAGTAGCACCTCTGGAGAGAGTCTGAGCGCCCCCACAGGTGAGAAAAACCAGCCTCCGTTGTGGAGTTCTGAGCAAGCCCAATGAGCAGCATGCTCAGCTTGAATCCTAGAGCTGGAAGAGACTCAGGAGTCATCAAGTCCAGCCCCCTGCCCAAGGCAGGACCAACCCCAACAAGAGCAAGAGCTCTTGGCAAGAGCACGCCTGGGGCAGAGACGTACCTCTAGCCAGATCATTATGCAGAGCTGTGGGCAGAATGCTGGCGTCTCCGCTCATATTCTTGGGCTCTCCCAACTGCCCCTTGCAGCCCTTTAGAGAGACCCAGCCAAGCTAAAAACTGCAATAATGAAACTCCCAGGGTTTTATCATGATACTTGCAATATTTGTGGCTTTTCTTAAAGCCCCAGCTCCTGGAATTGAGTGAGAATTTGTTTTCATTAAAAAGGGTTTCTGGCCTTTGTAGTTGAGGAGAAAAGCTTGAAAATGTGTCCCCCATGCCAGTGTTCCCTGTAATGCTAAGCACTTGGGTGGCCACCTAGGAAAGATTCAAATGCTGCCCAGCTGATTGGCAGAGCACCCACTGCACCCACAGCCGGCAGCATGTTTCTACTGGTGGTGCACATGTGCACATGACAAAATTTATTCTGCACAAGGACTGAAAAAATTAGAGGGAACATTGTCCCCTGCTGGCTCAAAAACATTAGGCAAATCCAACTCCCTCCCCCCAACATGTTATTAAACATAACAACTGCCTCTTCACTTTTCAGTAAATCTGATTTTTCAGTGCCTGACCCCCAACTTTTGGGGTTGAGAAGATAGAAAGGGAGCACAGGGCAGTGAAATGACTCATCTACAGAGGCACAGCGATGCAGACCCCAGACTGGAACCCAGGAGACCTCTCAAGTGCCCTACCAGCTGACTCCTCCATCTCTTTAGGAAGAGGCATGAGAAGCGTAAGAATGATACATTTCATCCGTCTGACCACAACCTCCCAAGTGACCAAACCAAAAAGCCACTGGCCAGGTACATTGCAAATCATTATTTTTGCACCAATTTCCATGTTAATTAGCATGCCGTTCTTTTTTTAAACAAATCCGTTGGAAGCCCCACGCTAACAGGTAACCAAACCTCAT